CTGCTCCCCTCAGCAGTGTACTTCATCAATCTGCCTGTTCTGCTCCCTGCTCTGTCCCTGGTGAATCCTCTCACCCACCCCCCATCTCTGGACTGTACCCCAGTTCTGTATGAATAAATAAATAACTCTTTTTTAAAAAAAGGACATGTGGCTCCTGGCAGATGTCCGCCAGCACATTTTACTGGATTTGCTTGTGTCTGAGCTCAGCTGCTTTACTGCATCACTTCCATAGGCCCTGGCTCACCCCCTAGTACAAGCAACTATATCTCACCTTAACCCTGCGCCAGCCTCCCTCCAGTGTGGTCTCCCTGCTCCCATCCCAGCAGTCCGCATCTGTTCCAACTATCTGCAGTTTACCTTTTGAAGTGTAGGTTGGATTGTGTCACTCCTGAGCTAATCTATACTAGCTCAAGCTGTTATAAGAAAATACCGTAGACTGGGGCTCAAGCAGCATGTTTACTTCTTACCTTTCTGCAGACTGAGAAGTCCAAGGCCAAAATGCTGGCCATGTGGCTCCTGGCTTGCAGGGACCTCCTCATTGTGTCCTCAGGGGCAGAGTCAGAGAGTTCATCCCTGTTCTTACAGGGATGGGCTGCTAATCCGCTGCCCTCCTGGCCACATCTAATTCTCTCCCAAAGGCTCCACCTGTCCACATCAGGGATGGGAGCTTCAACTTGAATGGGGGGCGTGGTAGGCTCGCACATAAGCATTCAGCCCATAACACCACTTTTGTTTAGAATAAAGACCAAAATCTTTACAATGTCCTACGTGACTGAGGCCCAGCCTTTCTTTCCAGCTCACTTTTGTCCATCTTCCTCACTCTGGCCCTCCAGCCACATCTGGCTTTCTCCAGCTCTGCAGACACCAGATTTCCTGCTGCTGTGCCTCAGCACAACCTGTTCCCTCCGATTGTACCTAGTTAGCTCCCGTTTAACAGGTAAATCCCTGTCACAGACTTGCACAGCTCCAGTTTCCTTTTGGCCCTTCTCATGGTTCTACTTTGCATTTGTATGGCTGGGATTTAATTAATGTCCATCTTGCCCATGAGACTAAACGCCAGGAGGGCAACTCCCTTGTTTGTGTTGCCTAGTGGGACTCTCCAGTGCAGATGTGGCTCATAGGAGGGCTTAGTAAATACTTCCTCAGAGTCCCAGTGGGCAGAAACATATACAAGAAAAGTTTATTTAGACAATGGAACTCTTTTTTTCCCCCACAATGATAATTTACACCAAATCCTGAACTATAACCCAATAAAATGAAACGGGAACCGTTCTGGCTTGAGTATGTGCGGGAGGATGGGCGGTGGAGAGACACACAGCCCCAGAGAAGCTGCCACCACTGTCCCGAGGCTTGCAGAAGACACTCTGGGCCACAGCTGTGAGGCATCAATTTTTAGTATGCACATGGGGGCACTGAGGGAGTTTTCTGGGGAGCAGAGGCAGTTTGACCAAAAGTGGACTTTTTACTCTTTGATCTGTTTTTTTTCCCTTTGGAGACATGAGTGAGCAAAAGGTCCCTGTCTCCAGGACTAACTCCCCTCAGGGGGCCCTCCAGAGGTACTACCCAACCTTTTCCCTAACTTGGACCCTCCACTATCAGTCAGGTTCTCGCCAGGAGTCTACAGCAGGGGCTCACCAGGAAAGTTTGAGTCTGTTCCCAACTCCTGGAAATGTGTTTTGCCTTGCTGTGTTTTTAAAATCTTTGTGTTGGTTGGGAATACTTAAAAATTAGTAGATCTTGCACAAAGACCCAGGTCCAGGTGTCTGTCTTCAGTCACAAAATCAGCAAGACTCTGGATCTGGGCTCTTTCCTGGAGAGAGTCACATGGCCGTGGAACAGGCTCTGGCTTTTCCTTTTCATTTTTTTAATACTCTGTCAGCTGTGCCAGTGTATGTCCATCAGCCCCTGTGCACATTTTGTTGTTGTTGTTGTTGTTTGTAGCCTTTGCTCTAGATCAGTGCTGCCCAGTAGAACGTTCTGCCGTGGTGGAATTTTCTGTATCTGTGCTGTCCAGCACAGTAGCCATGAGTCACTCATGGCTATTGAGCATTTGAGAGGTGGCAAAGGAGCTGAATTTTACTTTTATTTAATCTGTACTTAACTAGCCACATCGAGGGAGTAGCTATGGTATTGACGGGCACAGATCTGGACGTTCATTAAAGTGTTACAGTTAGATCCAAAAGGATTTAGGTGCAATAATTTTGTACTTTCCTACCCCTGTTTTCACTAGATTTTCTTGTGTTTATTTTGACTTCTTTTTTTTTTTAAAGATTTATTTATTTATTCATATAGAACTGGGGTAAAGGCCATAGATGTGGCAGAGGGTGAGAGGATTCACCAGAGACAGATTGGGGAGCAGAACAGGCAGATCAACGAGGTACACTGCTGAGGGGAGCAGTGGGCGGGTCAGGAGAGGTCTGCTATGCCATGTGGATCTCCTCCAGGGCAGGTGGGAATAGAACTCATGCGGAAGTGGCTTTAGCTTCTTAGTGCTGTGCTTTAACCCGCTGCACCACCTGAGAGGGCCTATTTTGACTTCTTAGTATGTCTATTAATTGGTAGCCTCATCTTATTTTGGAGTGGTACGAGATATAAAAATAGAGGTGATCACTTAGAATGGGGGTTAGGATGGACTTGGTAGATGGAGCCTCTACCTGTGGAGAAAAATTCAGCTCAGCTGCGGTTGCAGATCCTGAGTGCCTGCTGGGCATAGATCTGTGCCATGTGCCACAGGAGATCCAGGGATGAATACGGGGCACTGGGGATGTTAGTTGGTCAACATCTGTTTTCCCTCCTCACCCCAGGGAGTAATCTCCATGAGGGCAGGGGCTTCAGTTTGGATGCTCTCCTTCCTCCTTCCTTGACATAAGCATTGAAAGGCATCCTGGCTAAGGGGCAGGGAGTTAATCCCAAGCTCTCCAGCTCTGGAGATATTTGGGATATCTGGAGATATTCTGTCTTGGGGCTTAAGTGCTCTGAAAGAGCTAAATGACTAGAAACTAGATATATTTAGCCCATTTTATCTCCAGGTTAGATTAGAGTTAGGGGTTTGGGGAAAGAATATCTCAAAAATGAGGTGCACTTCTCATCACATCATCTCAGGGGCTCCATGGGAGCCCCACAATATCCTGAATGACATGAACCCTCCATCACTTGGTTTGCCAGCTGTCTCCACTATGAAGTCAGTATTTTTCCCTTTTTAGTCTCTGTTCTTTGGAAGCAAGTCACTAAGTCTAGATCACTCAAAAAAGGAGGGAGAGATTAAACTCTCTAGAAGGAAGAGTTTTACCTCGAAATCTTTCTGTAAGGAAGATTTTGAGTGAACTTCCTAAGATGAGCTACATCCTAGAGCAGGCACCTCCTTCCACTTGGTTCTTTCCAGGCTTCTGGGGGAGAGACTGCCATCCTGCCCATCTAGCCCTGTCTTTTGAATTATACCACCAGTCTTATTCCAAAAGTTACTGCAGGTGGATTTTTTTTTTTTTTAAAGATTTGCTTTTGCTTATTTATGCATATAAGAGCTGAGTTGTAGGCCAGATGTGTGGGTGGGTGAGAAGGTTCACTAGAGGCAGAGTGGGGAGCAGAATAGGCAAATCGACTGAAATACACTACTGAGGGGAGCAGTGGGCGAGACAATAAAGTTCTGTTGTGCCATGTAGGTCACCTCCCTAGCCGGGGATCGAACCCATGCTGCAGTGGCTGGTGATAGCTTGATAGTGCTGCATCACTAGGGAAGCCCTCCAGGTAGATTACTGAAATAGGTATAATCTCCCAGGTAACAATGTGACTAGATGGAAGACAATCGGGAAAAAGGAAAAAATAAGACAGGACATAATATGAGGTCTTAGGAAGTAGCTAGAGTTTCATGCTCAATTCAACCCTGAACTTCATTGTGGGGAACATCTGGTCCAGGCTTCAGCGTGATTGTGAGGTAAACACAAACCATAATCATCAACACTAGCCATGAGGCATGACTTACCCTGGCATTAGAATCTGAGCAAAAGGTCTTTCTGTGAAGCCCCTGGAAGATGGACATTGTGTGATCAGGGGTCAGGAAACAGTGGGGCAAGTCTGACCCACCTTCTACTTTTGTAAATGAAGCTTTCTTAGGGCAGAGTCATGCTCATTCATTTCCATGGCTCTTTTTGTGCTTTTTCATGCATCATTCAGTAGTTGTAACAGGCCATGCAGCCCATTAAGTCTAAAATGTTCGCTATCTGAGGATGTACAGAAAATGCTTGTCAGTTCTGATGTGGAGGATAGCTCCTTAACGCACCTGCCTGGACTAAAAATTAAAAATAAATTAATAAAACTGCAGAAATCATGCAAATTTTTGGTGACATCCCACAGTGTAGGCTTGTAGGACAATTCTCAGGGTGCAGCAGAGGAGAGAGAACCCTCTTCAGGGCCCCAGAAGTGTGCACCTAAGAAGCACACTTGTGTACACGCGAGCTGAGCCTCTTCCCCATGATTAGCTTCTAAGCTAATGTTATGGTATAAATACTGTTCCTAAGTCTCACTGGTTAAGGGCCGGTGGTGATTGGTGATTGTAAGCTGTCTCTTACTGCATTTGTCCATGTATTCATAGTGCTAGCAAAGTCTTGTTTTCATTTATGTTTTTTTTTTTGGAAATCATTGAGCTTGCAGTAGGAGAGCAAAATAGTTCTTTCAAAACCAGGGGCAGTTTTATCTGCCAGGGGACTTTCAGTAGTACCTGGAGACATTTTTACTTGCCCTGACAGAGATGGAGGGAGGTGATAAATCATGGCGTGTTACTGGCATCTCGAGGGCAGGAGCCAGGGATGCTGCTCAGAATCCTTCAGTGCAGTCCCCACAACAAAGGCAAATCTGGTCCCTAGTGGCACAGTGCCAGGGCTAGGTAGCAAGTTGTAGACGGAGCACTTTTCACAGGACCTAACAACACATCTAGTAACTTAAGACTCCATTCCGGAAATACTTGTGAGCCCTATATAGGAGCCTATATAGACATTTCGTTTTTCTGGAAGGGCTTTGGAAGGCTTACTGTTCTCTCTGAATATTTGTTGTGTGGGGAGCAGGTGAGAGTGCTGCCTTCCAGAGATCTTTAAAGGTATAAAGTAGAGTTGACCAACATTGAGGTGGAATCCAGTGGCTACCAGGAGAGGTCCTAAGTGGAGAGTAGATAGTTTCTCTTTGGGGTCTGCAGTGGAGTGAGGAAGGAAGCATTTTACTATGGGAACATTTGAGATGCCTTCAGGACTGGTGGGTTTTGAGCCTGTGGTTGTGGGAAGGGGACCCCGCGTGATGGGGCACGTGGATTCAGCACCCAGGCGGGAGCCATGGATCATAGGTCACTGCTGTTGGCACAGTGGGTGTTGGGAAGGGGTCCCAAATCGACACCCTCAGTGCCCCATGGCTGCTTCTTGGTGTGGTAGCCCATGAAGAGACCTGAGAGATTTCCAAGTAGATGAGTGGAGGGATTGGAACTGCCCTTTAGGAGGATGAAAATGGAGGTGACTCTCAGGTCTGGTTTTTGGTGGAGAGGCCACAACCAGGGAAGCCAGTGAGGAGACTGAGAGCCCTCCCCGGCAAGAGAAGTGTGGGCCTGAGTGAGGGTGGTGGGAGGGCGTGATTGGAGATCACATGAGTGAGCAGAGGGGTGGCCGCAGGGCCATGCACCTCTTACAGGTGGAGTAGGAAACGGGCGCTGTTAGATGTCCCTACCTGGGCCTTTGGGGGGCTGCGTGTACCACAGACAGACACAGGAAAGGAGAGTGGGGTGGGAAGGATGAAGCCTGGTCAAAGGAGGGTGCTTGCTGCTCACTCATGTGTCTCTGTGTCCTCTCTCTTCCCAACTTCATAGGAAATAACTGACTCTATTTTCTCCAGAGATTTTTCTTTCATATAAATCAGGTGGTTTGAGTCAAGCTCTCTTTGGTCCTGAGGGTATTCTGTGAACACTGACCTCATATCTGCTTGATGTGGAGTGCAGGAATTGCCACCACTGACAAAGAAGCTAGACAGAAGTGCATGTGGTCCCTCAACAACTTTAGCACTTTCCACCAGAGACCAGAGGGGAAGAAGGGGAGACTGGAAAGGGCCTTGTTTATAGTCTTACATCAGAGTGTTGTTGGGTTTTTGTTTTATGTGTGTGTTAATTTTGAAACCTTCTGCAGGTGTCTGTGGACCAGACGGTTGCCCCAGTGTTGGATAGCTCCAGTTTGGGGATAAGCACAGGTCAACCTGTGGACAGAAGCAACAGCCAGACCTTTGGGAACTCCCAGGCCTCAGGAGAACAAGGCTTCCCCTCCACAAACCCCAATGATAGCAGGTAAGATTCAGAACGGCTGGGCTGTGCTGCTGGGCAGGGTGTATGGTCTAAACTCAGGGCTGCAGAGACTAGAAGTTCAGAGTGTCAGATCCAGTTCTTATTTGGGCCATGAGTTTTATCCAGGAAGCTGGATCAGTCAGTCAGTTTCCTAGCACCTGTTCAGTAGGGCTTATGGTATGCACCCTGCCTTCCCCACTGGGGAGCTAGGAAGTTTGGGGAGGGTCCCTGACTGAGTCCACCCTGTTCACTGGGGTGCCCTGCATTACATCTTGCATGTGGTAGTGTGTGGTCATCCTGTGCCACTTGAGGAGAGGAATGAATAGTGAGAGAGTCAATACTGGGAATTTCATGAGGATTATATCTGAGGGGATAAATCAAAAATTATATAAAAATGAAAAACAATATAAATAAAATCATAAAAAAAAAACCAACATTGCTTAAACGCTACAAAAAAAGAGAAGAGTCAGTGATTGTGCCTAAACAGAGCCATTATTATTTTGTCCCTGAGTATCCAGGGGAAACATGAAATGAGTCAGGACCAATGACTAAAAATTGCAGAGAACAGATTTCCATTTCATGATAAAGGACTCACCAGCCCTGGGTTCTGCAGCAGGGAAACATACTTCATGGAGAAGCTGAGCTCTCTGCCATGAGATGTTCACATCAGTGGCAAGGGCTCAGGTTAGAAGATCACTTCCAAGGTCTTTAATGGTTTTTTAGCCCTGAGATTCTGAAATGTTCCAATGGGTTTTGGATCCACCAAAGAGGAAGAGGGGGCCTGCACTGAGGAAAGAGGTTTAAGAAGCTTCCAGATAAGCACTAGAACTGGTTCATTTTGGTGGGGGGGAGGTGGTGTGAGTCCCATGCCCAGTAATCTGACCTTGTTAGCTGAGTATTTTAGTGTGTTTTAAGGAGCCATCATATTATTGAAATATTTGTACAGTAGCTGATGGTGTCAAACCCACCCTGCTGTTTTCCAGCTCTTTGACCTTTACCTTTATTGTATACACCCCACCCCTGTGCCCTGTGAACTAGCCCCAGGATGTCAGTTTGCTTGAATGCCTTCACAATCCGTATTCTCCTGGCCAGCTCTGGAAGAAGTAGGGTGTAAGACCCGTGTTCTTGACCGTGCACGTGCCGCCTTGCCTTACTAACCAGACGTTCTATGTTCCAGCTCTCAGCAGCTGGCGGCAAGCTCCTTGACATCATCCTCCACCCTAGTGGAGATCCTGGAAGCCATGAAGCATCCCTCGTAAGTGGCTAGTCTGTGAATGCAGGGATGGGAGGTGCTCAGAAATACAACCCACGGTGCTGCTTGACAGGTGGTTTGTAGGATTCATATTTGACTACTGCTCACCAGGTGTGAGACTTTGGGCAAGTTACTTGACCTCTCTGAACCTCTGTTAACTTTGTAAAGTGGATAACAAGTTGCTCAAGGAGTTAAATGAAATAATTATGTAAATTACCTAGCACAATGATGGACAAGTATTCTCTAAATACCAGGTCCTTGCTCCTTCCCATCTTTTTACATCATTCTTCATTTTATGCATTTTTTTCATCTCAATTGTATTGCCTTCCCTGTCTTGATCTTCCCCTGTGACACCTCTTATCCTACCGGTGGGGTTTCTGTGGGCCTAAGAGGAATTGCAATTTGGGGCCAGAACAGAATATCTACTCTTTGCTCTTTGGATATTACATGCTTTAGTGAGATCTCTTCTTTTTCACCTTTCTTTCTGTTCTTTGCCACCATATACACAACTCTCTTGCTCACTGCCTGGTGTATTGGAACTCAGGACAGGAGTCCAGCTGCTCTCCGAACAGAAAGGCCTCTCGCCATGCTGCTTCATCAGTGCAGAGGTGGTGCACTGGCTGGTCAACAACGTGGAGGGCGTCCAGACACAGGTGATGGCCATCGACATCATGCAGGTGAGACAACAAGGGCAGGCCCTCAGGCCCCCTTGAAACCAGAGCCTGGCTATGATGCAGATGTCCTTTGCAGTTAAAAGATCTGCAGATTGGGGTGAGGATCTGTTTTTAATGAGTGTGAGGCCTGCCTGGAATTGATGAAAGAGAAAGGTTTTGCTTTGAAAGACATTATACCTTGACTGAAAAATCTAGCAAGATTTGTCATATTAACTGAAATATCCTGGACAGAATGTGTACTTTTGAACCTAGAGGATACCTATGGAGCTATTCCCAGGGAATGCTGCCCTCTGATCTTGTGCCAGCCACTGCAGCAGCCAGGGAGCTGACCCCCATGGCACCGCCGACATCTCCTTTCCCACCTACTGCTCCCCTCAGCAGTGGATTTCAGTAGATCCACCCCTCCTGTTCCCCACTCTGTCTCTG